ATGACCTACAAGAATCTCACTGTAAAGTCCTGGAATTTGCTGGAGAGCTGGCTCTATCTCTGGCCTGCAGACAAAGAAAACTAAGCCATGTTCTAGAGCTGTCCAAAAACTTCCCAGACCTGTTTAAAGGGAGGCTCCCATGAAACAACTAATGAGACAAAATTATAGGATACGGATTAGGCTGTTTGTTCCTAAGTAAGCTGTAATATGTGTCATAAAGGAATACACCCATCTTTGCATTCACTGCAAAGATTCAACCTCGGATACCTCTCAAATGGATACAGAAAGTACAAAAAAGTTAAGGCAGAACAACTTTCTGCCAGGAATGCTTTTTTAAATGACCAAAAGTCTTTGAGAGTTCTGCACACAAAGCAGAGTCTGGGCAGGTTGTTAATTTTCTTTTCTCCATGAACAAGAATGGCCTTAATGACCACACTAGGATCAGTAGTTTGGGACTCTGGGCAGCCACCCTGGTAACTGCTGGCTGCCAAATATTCCACCTGATCTTTTCCATTTGGAAACTGAGTCTCAACTGTACAGGGAACAGGAGTTAGTGCTGTGAAGAAGTGGGCAATCCTGATGTCTACACCTAGTTACTAGTAGTACTCTTTTCTATGAGAACTCAAAGATACCAGAATACATTCTTTTAACTATCATGTTAATATCATGGTACTTAAATATTTTAAAATGTTGGTTCTGCTTTTACATGCTACATAGTGCTGAAGGAGGAATCTCTATAATACCAGTGCCTTTCATGTGGGTATGATAAATTGGACAATTAGAGGTGAAATTCTCCCTTAAATATTTCTGAGTATGACTCTGGACCAATCTTAAGGAACAGGTACTTCTCCACCAAAAAAACCAAAAAGAAACAAAAAACCCCAAAGTCCTCAGCACTACATTTAGTGACTGCTATTGTTGAATTATTTTACTATGCTAACAAGAAAACTGTGTTGTTAGAACTTAGTGTTTGCAATCATACCCAAGGCAGCATAAAAAAGTGGTCCTTGAAAATTACAATACCACTTGTTTCTAGGGGAGATATCCCTCTTTGAGAAAGAAGGTATGATAACTTACAAAGACACCTACTTTATTTGTAGAACCCATGCCTACCTGTGGTTACCATATAACTGGCCTGTCTAGAACTCTAAAGGTTGTATCATCCTTTCCATGCACTGATACTGATTCTCCCTCCCTAAGGAAAAGTATGATCACATTCATGTAAGCAAAACACAATGCTTCTGGGTAATAACATTCCCATTAGATGTGCGAGTATATCAAATGGATTTAAAACATCATGTAAAGTATTATAGAGATGTGGAAGGCTTCTTTCAGTGGAACAGGAAAACTTATAAAATGGTGCATACTTTTCATTAAAAGTACAGGTAGTGCACTACACATATTTTCACTTGGATACTGAGTAGTAAACACTGGAAATACACTGTAAAAATATGAAGAATGTGCAAGAAGGGTTCTTATACAGATCTAAATTTAAGATAAAATTGTTGCTTAAGAGGCAGTAAAGAAGAAAACTGAAGATACAAAACATTACATGCTTCACGTTCTCTTTGTTACAATTCTCTGTGCCTTTCCTCTTTTCCATATTATAAAGTATGAAGCTTCTCAAAGCTGCTTTTACCCCTCATGGTGTTAAGTAACAGAATTCCAGAGCTTAACCCTGGAAAGCTCATGTTCTCCTAACTGCTAGTCAAAGAAATCTCCAGAGTCAATAAAGAAACGACTCAGAGAGCCAGTTCTGAGACCAAGTGGTAAATGGAAACCAGTACAAAGGCACAGATTTTATACTCCAATGTGGAGATTTCTCTCAAAGTGTGTATTCTTGTTGTTTTCTATTATTAAAATGTCCTTGGAAATGTTATTTATACAAAGAACTTTAACAACATCCAGAGTTTTGAAGCAGCTGTCATGTCCTGAAAAATGTTACTTGTAACTCCTAAAAAGTATACAGAACTTTCACTGGTTTTATTTTGGAAGTTTTTTTGCCCCAGTATTATTTAAATAGACATCTAAGTTTTCTGAAGTGTGTCTTTAGGAAGGTTCTTTGTTAAAGCTAGAAGAGCTTTGGGATTTTCTTCCCCTCTTCTAAATAGGGTAAAACAAAAATTTCTTTATTCAACCAAAGAGTTTTTATGTTTCAATTAATAAATATGGCCAGATTTAAAAAAAAATCCATTCTGATAATCTGTCTTAAATCTGTTTACACTTGCTATTACTGATATATTTGGATTTATTTCTACCTTTCTGTTTTGGTTTTTTTTTTCCCCCTCCCTTCCTGCTATCAGTTGGGTTTACAAAATAGTCTATATTCCTTCCTGTGCCCCTTTTATTAGCTCTTTGCTGTTTAAGAGCTACAGGTTGTTTTCTTTTGGTGGTACTCTTTTAATACCTATGATGAAGTCTAAAATTATTCAGTATTTCTTTCCTCCTCCAGAAGATTATGAAGATTGAAGTATATGCTTAAATTGCTCATTAAACATCTGTTTTTCCTTCCCATGTTATTATTGTCATCTAGTTTAAATTCTACAATAGGATTTTTAAAAATCAGTTTTTATGACAGTTTTGTTTTTAATCAATAAATTTACTGTTTTTCCATTTTTGTGGTCACGACTGCTTTCTGTATCCCACTCCTTTCTTCAGGTTCAATTTCTTTCTTCCTGGAGAACATCCTTTAGTAGTTTTTAAAAAAGAGGGTCTTGAGTGGTATGTTTTCCTGGTCAATGAAAATGTGTATCTTGCCCATAGTCTTGAATGCATTTAGCTGGGTATGAAATTCTAGATTGATAGTCCTGTCCTCTCCCCTTAGTACTATAATTCCTCACTGTCTTCTGTCCTTTCTAGTATATTTGTCTTTTTTCCCCCCTTCGGTGGTTTTTAAGGTTTTCTCTTTATCCCTGGAGTTATAGCATGATGTATTGAAGTATGAATTTAACTTTCATTATTCTGCTGGTAGTTGTAGCATATTTTTAATCTGAGAACTTGGTATTACCTTTAATTCTTTTCAATATAGTTTTCCCACCATTCCCTCTATTTTGTTCTTTAAAAATCCTATTGGATATTTGCTGGAATTTCACAATCGACCATGCATTGCTCTTAACTGCTCCTTCAAGTTAACAAACCCCACCCCCGTTTCTGTGTGTTCTAGGTGAACTTCTTATCATTATCTTCTGGTCACTAGTTCTCGTTTCATCTATATCCAATCTATAGTTTAATTCTGTATATTCTTTTTTTTTTTTTTTTTTTTAAAGATTTGATTTATTTATTCATGAGAGACAGAGAGAGAGAGAGAGGCAGAGGGAGAAGCAGGCTCCCAAGGAGCAGGGAGCCTGATGTGGGACTCGATCCCAGGACCCTGGGATCATGACCTGAGCCGAAGCAGACGCTTAACCATCTGAGCCACCCAGGCGCCCTAATTCTGTATATTCTGCTTTGGTTTTGATGATCACATTTTTCATATCTAAGTCTCTCAATTAGTTGTCATATTCAACCATTCTATTTCATTTCTGCCTGTTTCAGTTTCACAATTTATTCATTCTCAGTGGATGCTAGATCATCAATTATCTCTTTGATTATCTAAAACATTTATTTTAAAGTTTTTAAAGTCATGGTCAAGCCATCTATCTGGAATAAATATATGTATATCCCAATAGTTGATTTGGTTGGTGATCTTTCCTAGTATTGAATTTCTTTATGAATTTTGGAATTGCAATGTATCAGAGTTTTGAATGAGAGCCTTTTGCTTTGTTTACTTCTTCTTTCTCCCTGTGTACATCCTTTCTTGTCAGTAGTTTTGCATTTGCTTCCACCAGAGCCCCTGGAATCAAGTTTGGAAAAAGTCTTGTGATGAATTTCTGAAGCCAACTATTTCATTGGTATATTATGTATATCATATATCCAGTCCAGAGCAAGCTGACACAAAGCTTGACACAAAGCTGTGTCTTTTGTTATCCCTTCACCCACAGCTTCCTATGAATCCACAGCCCTGGGCAGAAGATTGGTAACATTTTTTCTTAGCTTCTTTTCAAAAGTGGGTAAAGTTCCACCCCAGTTCCCGGCTTCAAGCAATGAATCTGGCTCTGGTCCCTGGTCCCACATGAAACACACTGGTGTCTATCACTTGTAGCCAAACTCTTGGGTGCCACCACCTGCTTGGGATGAGGCCAGCAGGCCCGAGACTTCAGTTTCACTCACTACTTGGTGTTTCTAGTCCATTAAGATATTTTTCTTGTTTCTGGAGGGCCAGCTTTGTCTTTTGGTTTTCTCATTATTTATTTATTTATTTATTTATTTTTAAGATTTTATTTATTTATTTGACAGAGACACAGAGAGAGAGGGAATACAAGCAGGGGGAATGGGAGAGGGAGAAGCAGGCTTCCCACGGAGCAGGGAGCCCGATGCGGGGCTTGATCCCAGGACCCTGGGATCATGACCTGAGCCAAAGGCAGATGCTTAACGACTGAGCCACCCAGGCGCCCCGGTTTTCTCCTTTTATATTTTACCTCCCATTTCTATGTGTTTGGAGCAAAGGGAGTAAGTCAAAACATACACTTAATGTGCCATTTTGACTGGAAAATTTACATAATCCCTTAGCATTGTATCTGAACAAAATTTACTGATTAAACTGTATAAATAAAATTATCAGGGAATGTTTAAACCCCTTATTTGTACCTAAATGACAAACTAATTACAAAATATTGTTTTCATAAATGCAAATTAAATCCTAACTCGAGGTTCAAAATATATACACCTAAAAACAATTAAACTGCAAAATAAGCCTACAAAACAGACAATGCAGAACAATTTCTTTCACCTCTGGAATCAAATTAGTCTTACTTGTGCAAGGAATTCACAGGACTCTCAAACTAATACTTATCAGCTTTAACCAAAAATAAACATTTCTATGAAACTTAACTTAAAAATATCAGTTAAATAGAAAAAAAGACCACTATTTATTATGCTTAGTAAAAAAGAAAAATTTATACCTTTTCACTTGTTAAAAATTTTGCAAAATATACATGTTCTCCTCCTGTTTTTAATTCTTCCATCTTTTTCCTGGAGGCCTGAGTGTCATCTAATTTATAACTCTTAAAAACAGCTAGAACTTCTTCAGAATACTGCAAAGTAGAAATACCAATTAGTTTTATTTGGCATTGTTGCCCAATAATTTTTTTAGTGCCTTTCTATGTCAAAATACCTAGAATTTACTCATAGTTAACCACGTATGCACACTGTAAAGCACATTAAACAAGAAAAAACTATGATGGCAAAATGGGATTAAAACTACTTGGTATGAAGAGTTCATGGTATTGTCAAAGTAGGAATAAACTCTCTACTCCTGAAAAAAGGTAATTTCTTATGCAGTTTGTGTAAGCGGCAAACAGAGAAAGTAATGCTTCGAAAGTACACAGAAATTTACCAGTGAAATTAGATGTTTAACCAGCTGTGGAAAATGCTCAAGCATTTCTTGTGCTAAACGCTGTGACCAAATAAAACAATGATGTCAAATCCTATCGGATTTGTTCCCCCAGTTGGGGAACAATTCTGGATGATTTCTCACTCATCACTTAATCTGAACACATACTGTGCTACTTTTAAGAGCTACCTATTTACCTTGGATTTTGACTACAACCAAAAAGGATCACTGATATTTAAGTAGCCAAGTAAAAGAAATATAGAGAATTCTTATAAAACAAGAACTACCCAGTTTTTTTTTTCCTGATAGTACGTTAAACTTTATTTTTTTTTTTTAAGATTTTATTTTTAAGTAACCTCTACACCCCAAGTGGGATTTGCACTTACAACCCTGAGATCAAGAGTAGCATGCTCTACTGACTGAGCCTGCCAAGGTGCCCATAAGCTTGTTAACCTTAAAAATAAAACTACCAGGGGCGCCTGGGTGGTACAGTCTTAAGCATTTGGCTCTTGGTTTCAGCTCAGGTCATGATCTCAAGGTCCTGATATCGAGTCCCACCTCAGGCTCTGTGCTCAGGGTGGAGTCTGCTTGAGATCCTTTCTTCCTCTCCCTCTGCCTCTCCTGCTTGTGTTCCCCCTCTCTCTAAAATAAATCTCTTAAAGTAAAATTAAACCGCCAGTTATTTCACCAGCAAAAAAAATGTGTTTATTTCGGAATAGCTGAGAATTGTAATCTGGGACAAGCAAGCTGCAGGTCCGGGAAAACAAAGACGACTGCTCTTTTATAGAGGAAAGGAGGAGTTAGGAGGGGCTGTTATAAACTAAAAGTCCATTGGAGTAAACTGGGAGTTCCAAGTATGGTGGCTTCTCATTGGCTGAGCTGTGACTGCCTCTCATTGGCTGGGCTGTTGCTGGGACAGGAAGAAATCTTCCTTTCTTCTGTTGGGATAGTAAAGTACTTTGACTGGCAAGGTCCATCTCTTCCAGCTGGCTCTGCAAATGACAACTAGTGCTGAATGTGAGAGTCTCCCTGCTGGCTTCCTGATTCCATTTTATTTTATTTTATTTTTTAAAGATTTTATTTATTTATTTGACAGAGAGAGAGACAGCAAGAGGGGAACACAAGCAGGGAGAGTAGGAGAGGGAGAAAAGCAGGCTTCTCGCTGAGCAGAGAGCCAGATGCAGGGCTCGATCCCAGGACCCTGGGATCATGACCTGAGTTGAAGGCAGCCGCTTAACAACTGAGCCACCCAGGCGCCCCACTCCTGATTCCATTTTAAATGATGTTTCCTTCTATTAATTTTCATAGGCTATATGGCTCATATGGTCTCAGTTACACTACTCAAGTCTGCCATTACAGCACACAAACAGCTACAAGTATTAGCATGGCTGTGTGCCAATATAACTGTCTACAAAAACAGGCAAAGTCTGGATTTGGCCCATGGCCATTAGTTTGCAACCCTTGTTCTAACAGGATACTTGAAATAATTTTGTGCAAAGACAAGACAATATATTCGACAAAAATTCATCAATTCATGTTGACAATACTGTGTAGAAACAAACAAAAAACCCAAGGCTGTAATTATGAACTTTTAAATCCCTAAGTCATTTATAAACTACTCCACAAAATCAGTGGTTTAACATTATGAAATAGGCATAAAAATGTACGAGGTAAAATTATATAATAAAAAGCATGCTGGATAAGAGTCAAGTTTTGCCTCTGCCATGAACTGTAAAATACTGGGTTTTGGGTAGTCTATGATTGGCAACTCACCTTAAGAAAAGTTTTCCATGAAATCTTCTCATAGCATTGCACAGGGTTCCTGAAGTAATCCTGAAGTGACCAGAATTTTCGATACAGGTTGTAATCAATCGGAATGGAGCTAATAAAATAAATGTTATGTTAAAGAAATCACTTAAGTTCTTTTAGAAATATCTAAGTGCTCCTAACTTTTCTTAAGTTATACACCCCTTTAAGAAGCTGACAAAAGCTATAGCTCCTTTCCCCACAGAAGTGCATATTCATACTTATACAAACTTTTATAAACAATTTCAGGGGATTCATAGACCCTAACAAGACCCACTTTATCTAGAGTGATAGAACCCCTGAATTGTGGCCCAATACATGATTATTCAGAATTAAAGACTGTTTCTCAACCTCTCTTGCAGCTAGGTGTGGCCCCATAGTTAAATTCTGGCTGGTTGGGAGTAGAAGTCATATGTGCAAATTTTGGGCCATATTTTACCATTTTCCTTTTTCCCTTTCTGCTGGCCAGAATGCAGATATGATGATGAGCCACATGGACTATAGAAAGAAAAAGCAAACACTAAGAGATGGTGGGACAAGAATTTAGGAGGAACATAGGTCCCTAGACAATCTCCCAGCTCTGAACTGCCTGTATCCAGACTTTTCCATAAAGAAGAAATCAACTTCCACATTGTTTAAGCTAATGTCACCTGGAACCTATGCTAAAAGCCACAGTGTGACACATATATGTAAAATACATATCAACTCAGTATTATAAAAATAAGCCTTTTCTTTAGTGTCTTTATTACAGCACTACTAATTCAACTTGCAATTTCACTGTTAAAAATCTGCAGTGTCAATACGTTCTTTTAATTTTTAAATTTACCAAAATTATATTACGTTTTAATTTTAAAAGTTAAACATTTCAGACTTTTTTACCCAAAAGATTTTTGTTTTTAACAAAATCTTCTGTATCATTCAAAACAGCATTATCAAAAATGCTTTAGGTATTGACTATTTCGTATCTTCAAATATCCACAAAAGTTTTCAACATCACCTCTGTAAAATTAATTTTATTTGTAAACACAATTGTGTACTACCTTCTATTCTTTCTAAATAAACCTTAATAAACTGAATCTATGGATTAGTTAGCATTTTTTTCTAAACATCATCCAAGAAAGACTGTAATTTCATGTGGGAAACAGGAAGGGGGTTTAACGATCACTATGATATTAAGAGTGTTATCTTCTCTATTCTGGTGAATAATAGGAAGTAAGTAATCTTCCACTCTTCATCTTTGAGATGGATATATTTAAAACTACTTTAATGACTAAGGAGTATTGGGGGCCATATCATAATGCATTTTAAAGGATTATAGTAAAGTAAAATGAGTATGATTTTTGTCATGTACTTAAGTTTTTTTGAGGGGGGAGGGTAATGTTTAAAACTCTGAAAAATGCCTTACTTTATATAAAGGAAGGTTAGAGTAGAAAAGCAAAAAATAATTTGCTAGTGTAAAAATCAGTTTTCTACAAAAATGTTTGAAAAGGCATTAGTTAAGAATGACAAAGGGAAAAGTAGTTTAGTATAACATATGGAAGCACATTTGATGAACATTCTCACTGTATGACTCTAATTTACATATGGTTAAGATTACAAACTACAAGTGGTATCATAAAATACCTATTCAAAGAATTTTATTAAATTTATATTAATTGCCATATCAATTTTTAAAAACCACATACATCCAAACACATAATAACAGATCACTTATCTTACATTCACACTTCTGACAACTGTTAACTGTCTGGAACAAAGCTGTGAACTTGATAATAATTGAAAAAGCCCTTGGTCTGCAAGGAAATAGCAGGCACAGAGTGCATGCACTTTATTTTACAAAAGAGGCTTGAAATTATGCTTAGGTACTTACTCAGATTACAGTCGCTTTGAATTACGTATAAAGGTAAATAATTAAGCAAGCTAGCTAATTTTGATAAAAAAACGCTAACTTTGCTAGAGCAATTACTAGTATTTGAAACATGTGGATCTTGTTTCAAATCAATAATGAAGAATACTGACAACTTTTAAATGACCAAAATCCAGCTCCTGCCAAAAGTTTTATCAAGAACCAGCAGTATTTGAAAGAATCTAATGGGCATGTTAACTTTCACTCTTTCTACACTCTTTCCTAGTAACAACTCTGAAAACAGGAAAACAATGATCTGGACATCAACTGATATAAACTATTTTCTATAACTGAAGCGATTTCATTGATTTATAACAAGATTATAAGTCTGGGTTTTCTACAGATCAAGTTAAAAAAAAAAAAAAAAGCCACACACACCAAAAAACCAAAGCCACAAAAGGAATATTTTCCAAAATGTGCAAGTAAATTGGAAAAAGAAAAAGCCACATATAAAATGATTTACACCCATGAAATAATACTGTAACTGATATATGGGTAGTTCCATACACTTAATGTTTTTGAAACAAAACTGCTTTTGAAGATTTTATATAGTTTTATATATAATAGTTATATGCACACACAATGTTACTCAGTTACCACATATAAGAATATAATAAACACCTCCTGAAATGCAGTACAAGGAAAGTTTGCCTGTTAAGAAATGGGACACTACCTCTAATCAGATAATGAGAATTACGTAACCATTTTATGTTCCATTACTGTCTCAGTTGCCAGAAAACGCACATCTTAATTTAATGCTCGATAACTAACAATAATCTAAGGTGTTAATTATCATCTCCTACTTGTAAAAGCTTCTGATCTTTTATTTTTAGTTGGCCTAGTATTTATTTGAGGTGCTTCACAGAGGAAATTTTAAAGTAGTATTAATATAGGAACAGGAAGTTAATAGGAAACTTTTATAGTTGAGGCACTAACATTTTAAAAAAATCCTCTCCTCTGAAAGTTCCAATCCATGCTGTGCCTCCATGGCTTTTCCTTCACGTCTAAACATCTTGAAAGAGCAGTCTACACTCAATGTCACCACTTCTTTACCCCCCTTTAATGTTCTGACCCACTGCAATTTGCCTTCTAACTTCACCTTTCCACAGATACATCTGGATTCTGTATTTATCCACACAAAGCAAATGTGATTACTTATTATATATGCAAACCATAACAAATTAAGATGAGAGTTACTGTCTAAAAATAGAATGTTTTGTAACTATTTTAACCAAGATGTTCTGCAACTTGACATATTTTTTTAAATGCTGAATTAGTGATTTTATAGAACATTACATTGGAATTTTTTTTTTAATACAAAATTTTTTTACTGGTGTAGTTGAGCCAAATCTGAAATGGCCTTCATACTGTAGATACATGGGTAATGTGCTCTTTGTAAATTACAGTGCCTAAGACAATCTGGTGATACAGCTGGTCACAAAGTAATTTCCCAATCTCTGTCTCCATTCAAAAAATAGTGAAGGGGATTAAAAGGCAAAACTTGCAGTTTTAAAATAAGTAAGTCACTCGAATGTAAAGTATAGCATAGGGAATATTGTCAAAAATACAATATTGTAATCGTATGATTGACAGACGGTAGCTAGACTTATCCTGGTAATCACTTCCGAATGTGTACAATGTTGAATCACTATGTTGTATACCTGAAACTAATGTAATATTGTATGTCAACTTCATTTCAACAAAAAAAAGGACAAAAAAAAAGAGAAAATATAATGATTGTGACAGACTGAGAGACAGCTGAATGCTGAATCCTGTTTAAGTGATTTTTCTGCAATTGGGACTAGCTTACGAACAATTAATGGGGCTGACATATCTATAAAGGCTTCAGCAAAGTCTAACTAGACAAAACTGCACTGGGCAGTTTGTCTTTGGGGGCTCTTTTTATATTTCAGGTGACCTGTTATGTTGGAGCCTACTACCTTGGTCCTTTATGCTGCTCAGGCCAGACACCAAAAGTATATTCTATCCATAATGTACATGAACAAATAGGTCTTAAAATAAAACCAAACCCAAAACACAGATCTATAGCTAGTAATAATAGCTACTGAATAAACACTGTTCTAGCGCTTTCCATATATCACTATATGTAACATCAACAACTATGGTAACAATAAGGATAACTACGTTGTACCTTAACAGACCATGTCCAAGCAGCATCTCATTTAATAATCTCAACAAGCAGGTAGGTGGCATTACTACATTTTAAAGACACTGAAACTGAGTTGCAGGGAAGTTAGGTAACTTGCTTAAGGTTACACGACTAGGACTGGAATCCAGCCTGGAGCCACACTACTCTCAATGCTTCTTTGGAGATATGTGTTTGATCTGAAATCTGGGATGCCAGGAATGTGTCTCCCTTTGCAGATACTAGAAACTCTTCTTCTTCTTCTTTTTTTAAGATTTTATTTATTTATTTGACAGAGAGAGACACAGCGAGAGAGGGAACACAAGCAGGGGGAGTGAGAGAGGGAGAAGCAGGCTTCCCGCTGAGCAGGGAGCCCGATGCAGGGCTTGATCCCAGGACTCTGGGATCATGACCTGAGCCGAAGGCAGATGCTCAACCCATCTGAGCCACCCAGGCACCCCTGGAAACTCTTCTTGATCCTCCAGAAATTCAATTGCAACGGATGATAACTTTTGTCACCTCAGACACCTGGAAGTGAAAATTTTCCTTCATAACTCCCTTTTTCTCTTCCTCATTGCTTCTAATCAGCATTAGGAAGAAATTATTTGAAAAGAAAGCACAGAGTTAGCAGATGAAATAGGAAACAGGAGATGGGAGTGGGAAGGGGAGAAGACGGAAAGGCGGTTACTTATTCCTCCTACTTCATTAAAAACTCAGCTCCCATTATCCAGAGGCACTGGGTCCACAAAGTTAAATGCAAGGAAAAAGGGGAGGAGTGCCTAGGTTGCCTATGGTTGGCTTTCCAAATGTTAGGAATATGCATAAAGTAGGCCATGTAAATAATGAACTGTCTGCATGTAATTTAGAAACCAACTAACAGAGCCTATTAGTGATTTAGGATTTATAATTTTAAGTAATATACATAAAAGATACACATAAAAGAAATCTCTAAGCATAATTTCCTTCCTTTGTGTATATGCTGATACTAGTACTTGATAAGTCATTAAGGTACCAGTTTTATAAATCACGAACTCTGAACTTCTAAAACTCACCAAGTTGTTGGAGCTTCATCATCTCCCATTTCACCTTCTTCTACATCCATTCCTTCTTCTCTATCCTCAGTGTGCTAAATTTAAAAAAATGTACAGTCTGTCACAAAGCAGTTGTCAGGCAGAAGACACGCTGGAATAATATCATTCACACATAACTAGACAAACACTGTTAGAGAAATCTAGTTGCACTTCTGTCTAGACCTACAGTTAATCTTTAAGGCAATGGCAATTCTATGTGACAAGGATCTGAGACCTCAAGAGCAATATGACAAAGATATAAGATAGTCATGAAGATATAGTAGAAAGTTTTAAATCAGTATTTCTCCAAACATGTTCTGTAGATTCTCTATGGGAATAAACGGTCTACAGCAAAATACATTTTAGAAATATATTACAATGACCTTTTAGAGAACCGAGAAGATCATTAGTATATTAAGAACTCTTAAGAATTGCAGTAAATAACTCAAAGTATACTTAAGTATTTGTCCCCAACTTTAATTTGACCATAGAAATTCTCCCCAACCCAGCAGAGAACTCTTATTATTGGGGAACACTTCAGGATTCGCTGAGTGTCTAGCTCTATAGTGAGAAATTCAAAATAACAAGTTTACATGAAATAGTCCAAGAAGTACCAAAAGATACGTATCAGTGAAAGACAAAATTTTTTAAAATCTTAAGTCAACATCATTTCTAAATTGATAATAATTACATTTAAAGGAACAAATTATATAAGATAATCTAATTTACAGTGAGATATTAGTTATATCTAATTGATAATTTTTAAAACTTCATAACTTGTTCCTAAATGAAGAACAAGTATTGAATGTCCAGAAATTTGCCAACTCTGTACTGTCTTCTGGATATACCATAAATAATCTTTAAAAATAAAGTTGATTATACCTGATGTTCTTTTAAAAAATCAGTGGGCAAATATGGATTATTTAACAAATGGTTCTGAGATAACTGGCTCACTATTTGGAAAAAATAAATTATAACTCAACCTATTCCATATACCAACATTCATGCTGGATTAAAGATTTAAAAGAAAAAATAAACCATAAAAGCATCAAAAGAAAACAAAAGGGCTTATATATTCTTCTGGAGTGGAAGCCTTTAGCATGACACAAGACCAGAAACAACTAAACAAAAGACCAACAAACATTAATATTCTATCCAAATTTAAAAGTTCTATACAGCAAAGACACCATAAATAAAGTTATAAGAAAAGCTATAAACCGAGAAAAAAAAAATCAACAAACAGGTAGGCAATGAATTAATAATATTCAATATGAGCTTCTACACATCAGTAAGAAAAAGACATTGCAAAAGTAAAATGGGCAAATGGCTTGAATAGGTAATTTTTTTCCTCATTGCTTCTAACTGGCACAGAAGAAAAATAAATTCCAATAAACATATTGTAGGTCCCTCAACTTCACTAATAACCAAGGATGTAAGTCAAAACAAGGATTTACTTTTCAAGTATCTATCAATTAAGCAAAAATTTTTAAAAATTGGTAATTCCCAGGGTTGGCGTGATGCTGTGGGAAAATGGGCAGGCATTCTCCAAGTGCCACTGGTGATGATATAAATGAGTACAACCTTTTTGAAAAGTAACTGGTCAACAGCTATCAAAATCTGATATCACACACATTTTGACACAATTTCATTTACTGGAATTTATCCTAAGGAAACACCTGCATAATTTAGCAATGATATATACAGTACTATTCATTGTAATGCTGTTAACCATTTTTCACTATTAGAAATTATCTAAATGCCCACTGACAGGATTATGATAAATATCCACTTAGAAAACTTAACATGAACCATTAAAACACTAAGATCTAAATGTACTGATACAGAAATGCATCCATTTTATACTGTTAAAAGAAGAAAGTGAATTTCAGAACAATATGTATTGTATGACCTCATTTTTGGAATAAAACTACACACACAGTAAGTCCTGTAAAGACAGATAGACCATGCTAAGAGTAGTTATCTTTGGGGCCTTAGATTATGGGGTAGTTGTACTTTCTATTTTAAATATTTCTATTTTGTGTGCATTTTCTACACAGAACACACATTATTTCTATAAGTTAGAAACAAAGGCTTTTAAATTTTTCGGTGACTTAGAAGACCCATTCACAGGAGTTATCTTAGTAATACACTTATAAATATAATTAGATATTTATAAGTTTTCGTTTATAAGGTTAGATTTCTTATCAGCCTCACCTTCTGACCCAGGGTGCTTTCCTGCTCATTGGTATTGAAAACAGTGACGTTTTCCAGATTAAATTGACTCTGCAAGTTAAGACCTATTAAATAGAAGAAGAAAAAAAAGATTTTCAAAGCAATTCCACCAAACAACTAAGCTTAAGACTATAACTTTGTTGTCATATAACCAAAATGTATAAAATGATAAATCCATAATTAAACAAAAGATCAAGTCAGAAATACCACCACACTTGATTTTCAAATCCTTTCTAAAAGTCATTCTTTAAGGTGCCTTTAGAGTATCCACAATTCTACATACATTATAACAAATATAGTTGTCCTTGTTATTAATGAATAGTCTAGAATAATTTCAGAGTGCAATACATAGTAATTTATAATTTCACTGAAGCACAAATAAAAATTGTATTTATCAATATTATATATGTTGTATATACATATAATCAATACCGTGTATGTTGCATAACAACATATACAGTAAATATACTTTAGCTAATGAGAGCTTTCTCACTGTCAAAGAAAGAACTTATAAATGAGCAGGAATACTGGTGCTGGATTAAACTCAGAAGTATCAGTATGAAATCATGGTTCTTGTTGTTGGTCATTTAAAAACACATACATAGGCAGATACAGAAGTAAATAAAGATGTATATGCATACATGGGTTAGTATACATATACATATGTTTCCCAGCTCTGTCCACCAACAAAACCCAGAAGGAGTAATATTCCACTAGTAATTAGCAGATCTGGGGCCCAGATATTGGCTTCTAAATACCATTCTTAAATAAAAGGAATCAGGCTCTCTGGAGAAGTGGGTGATTCTAGGGGTGGGGTAGAGAAAACAAAAGATGACCCCAGACTCTCTTCTCATACCAGGAAAACATGAAAGAGCTCCCAATGGGCAAAACTAGAACAATTTGAGCGAGAAACTAAATAATTATACTATGGGACTATAACCCAGAGAATAAAATATCTACAAATTCACACTGAAACAGATGACTGAATTAATAAGTAAATAAATGAGAGGAGACAACTTTTGCTTTTCAAGAATCCCAAGTAATATATATAGAAGGCATAAGAGAAATAGAAGACCACCACCAAGGCAATCTAAAAATTATTGCTATAGGCAAAATTCAGATGAATGCTAAAATTAGTGGGCAAAGGTCTAAGGAGAAAAAGAGTATTTGCAAAGCCTCAAAGTATTTCCCTTCAAATATTAATTACAAATGTAAAAATAGTAACTTAGCAACAGAAAAATATGGTGATCAAGGAGGAGAACACCACCAATAAGACATATCAATATCATGTTGAAATGATGCACCAAGAAGGGCCCAGCACCTCTGTAGTCTTCCCCCAAACCCATACCTTCCATCTAATTATGAAAAAAATCAGACAAACAAACTGAAAGGCATTCTGCAAAATACCTGATCAGTACTCTTTAAAAGTGTCAAAGTCATGAAAAAAGCAAAGACTGAAACTGGGGAGAGTAAAGCAATGTAGCAACTAAATGCAATGTGGGATCCCTAAACAGAAAAAAGAAAAACATAAAACTGGTAAAAATCCAAATAAAGTCTATAGTTAACAGTGCTGTACCACCAATGTTGATTTCTTAGTTTTGGTAACTGCACCGTGATCATGTAAAAGGCTAACATTAGGTAGTCTTGCTATTATCTTTGCAACTCTTCTTTAAGTCTAAAGATATTTCAGAACAAAAAGTTAAAGTGACAAAAACTATGCTAGATCAAGTCATTAAGCTAGTGAATGAATCTGGTTGCCCATTTAGCACTGACTACTTAAAATATGTTTGTCTACTCCCTATTTATTATTCAATATAGCACACCCCATAATTACATCAAAAATTTCAGTCATACTTCACCACAAGCTAAATTACATGCTGAAATGGCTTTTTGAAGGTCTTGGGATATATCCTAGTGAATGTCAAGCATCTACAAATATTTAAAAAAGATAGTATAAGAAAATATCCCAAAATGCCAACCTAGCTTACGTTAGGGAGGTAGGATTAATCATAAACAGCTTTTTTCCTTCATTTTCTGAATTTTCTGAAATAGGTTATATTATTTTTATTTAATTTAGAAATTAAATTTAAAAACATCATTTATAGAAGATATATAACGTCTAAAGCTACCTTTAGCAACGTTATTAGTTTTTCAACCAGTCAATAAGAGAAGGAAAAAAATGGTTTCTCTATGTTTCGCCAATTTAGTAATGCTGTACATTGAAAAAGAGGTCTAAAATGTTCTTTAAAAAATGATGAGATCTACAAATAAAGGGGATTAAGAGTACACTTATCTTGATGAGCACTGAGTAACAGAATTCCTGAATCATTATATCATACACTTGAAACTAACAAAACACTATGTTAATTATACTTCAATTAAAAAAAAATATAGAAAGGAAAAAAAAGCTATAAATAACATACATTTAAAATTTTAGACAACATTCACAAATTCCCAGGGCAAAAAGTTATCAAAACTGTCTCAAGAAAAAATGAAAAGTGTGAATAGTTCCAAATCTGTTGCATAAATCAAATCCATAGCCACAAAACTTTATTGTGGCTTTTTCACTCGTAAATTCTACCAAACATTCAAGAAAGAAAGAATAACAATTACTCCAACTCTTCCAGAAAAGAAGAAAAATGTGAAAACTTTTAATTCATTTTATGAAAGTAGTTTATTTTATTTTATTTTAAAGATTTTATTTATTTATTTGACAGAGAGAGAGAGACACTGAGAGAGGGAACACAAGCAGGGGGATTGGGAGAGGGAGAAGCAATGTGGGGCTCGATCCCAGGACCCTGGGATCATGACCTGAGCCGAAGGCAGACGCTTAACGATGGAGCCACCCAGATGCCCCTTATGAAAGTAGTTTAATTTGCTATAAAAGTCTAACAAGATCATTATAGGGAAGGAAATTTACAGGCCCCTCCCTTTCCTGAAATTCACATATCCTTAAAAAAAAAATTAACATTCCAAATCCAGCTACATTTTATAAGAAGGCCGTATCACAACCACATTTGGATTATACAATGTAAAAAAAAAAAGAGAAAAGAAAAGGATGAGAGTGGAAGCTGGAGATAACAAGGGGAAAAAAAAAAGGCTGAGAATTGAAACCTTGTTCTTAAGTCTTCTACAACTTCCAGAAAAGAAACTACAAATTAGTAATTAGGAGGGGGCACACTTGTTTCACAAAACAGTCTTCATTTATCACAGATTTAAATAGCAACTAGGTGTCTCGCATTGTTCTAGGCACAGAGAACAAAGAAGTAAACAACACGAACACACTGGAAATGCCAGATGGTGTTAAATGCTAAGAAGAGATTTGAAATCAGATGGTGATAATGGTGACTGTGGTAGCAGGTTTAGATTAGATGCTGAAAGAGAGGCTCCCTAAGGAAGTAAAATTGAGACTAACAGCAAAAGTCAGTAGTATGACAAAAAAAGAACAAAAAGGTTTACAGAGGAAGAGTTAGTGCCAACACCCTAAGGTTCCACTGACCCTGGTATTTTGAAGGCATCAAGGTAAGATGCCAATTCAATGGGGAAAGAATAGTTTTTTCAACAAATGATGCAGGGACAACTGGGTATTAACACACAAAAGAATGAAACTGGACTCCCATCTCACACCATACACAAAAATTAACTCAAAATGGACCACAGAGCTAAATCTCTTATAAGAAAACACAAGAATAAATCTTTGTGACCTTAGATTAGGCAATGATATATACAGGGTATAAACCATGTTCACAGTGCTGTTCTAGGCAATGAAGTAAAAAAATGTTTTTTTTTTTTTTTTTTTTTAAAACAGTAAAGAGCTGACAAGAAAGTAAGGGATATGTGGCAAACATGCAGAAGGCAAGTAAGATAAGCAATGCATCATCAATACTTAAAGCCACTTCTGTCTTGAGTACATCTGCCAAACAGAAGAATCAGTTGTAAAATTGAGCTAGCCTTTTCGTAGCTTCCTGAAGCTACAATTATAAAGTAAATCTGGGCCCCCAAAAGGTGGGGAATCTAATAAATCCCACCCCAACCATCTTCAAGGCTGAGAACCTATAGGGCTATAACCCTCAGATTAAAATAAACCAAATTATAGTTCAGCGCCAAGTCTTCTCAATGTTCGAAGGAATAACAGGCCTTAAACTGGGCTGAATTAAGGTAACCCCGGACTGGTGATAGCCACCTTCTATAGGTGCCTGGCAGGAGCAATGAAAACTCTATCTGGAGAAAAGTATCTATCCTAGGCCTCAAAACTAATCCCTCAATATTTTCCCAAATATAACACCCAAAACTAGCCAGATACACAAACAGATAAGACATCCTGAGGAACAGTAGAAACAAACCCACAAAGACTTAAGGTACTGGAATGATCAGATCCATAAAAATGCTTATCCTGGTTAAAAAACTAAAGCACAAGTTTGAAAACATGAGCAGGGAATAAGAAACTAGAAAGTGACATTGCACACTTAAAAAAGACCTTCAACAAGTGAAAAATAAAATAATAACAATAAAAACTAAAATTAAAAACTCATTTAGCAGCTGATCATTCATAGCTTAAGAAAGATAGTGAACTGGAAAACTATTCTGAAGAAATTATTCAGAATGCAACAGCCAGAGATAAATAGATGAAAACACAGAAAGAATAAGAGACAGAGGACACAGGGACAAGGTATCATAATGTTTACCAGAGTTCCAGAAAGAAAAGAAAGAGGTATACACAATATTTGACGAAATAATGGCTAAAATTTTTACAAACTGGATGAAAGACACTAATCCACAGATTTAAGATTCCCACAAATCTCAAACATGATAAAGAAATCCACAGTAAGATACATCATAGTACAACTGGAAAAAAAAAAACCAAAAACCCAAAACAAAGAAAAAAATCTTAAGAGCAAAGAGAGAAAAAAAATCTAGATTATCTTCAAAGAAGTTAGACTGATATTTGTGTTGTCTAGAGAACAATGGAAGACAGAAGGCAGAGTAATGATTATCTCACACATGATGAAATCCTCTATCTAGTGCCAACCTAGAATCTTTTACCTACTGAAATCATTCTTCAAGAATAAAGATTTTCAGACAAAACATAGACCTGCACTAAAGAAAAGTCTAAAGGGGAAATTTTTCACAACTAGAAGGTCAGAAATACAAGCAGTAAATAACTTAGAAATCTAAATTAATCTTGATCACATTAAGTAGGAAAGAAAAAACCCCACAGATCTAGTATGACAAAAAAGAAAACACACAGAAACCACAGCCATCATATACTATGGGTCTCACTACATGCAGGCACTGTTGTAAGCTATTCATGTATTTTAATTCATTTAATCCTCACAACAACATATGAAGTAGGTGGTATATTAGCCTGATATTAAGGAAAGAAGACTGAAGGAAAGAGGTATTAAAATCTGGCATATGTGAACAGAATGTGGAGGGCTCTGGAGAACTGGTTATATTCCATTTCTGAAGTTCGACAGTGGTTACACAAGGATTTAATTCGGAATTATAGTCTACATTTATTTTATGCACTTTTCTATATGAATGTTATATTTCACAATAAAAAATGGTAAAAGCAATGAAAGGAAATAAATGTGCCTAAACAGTAGTGACTGTGAGGGAGAAAAATGGAAGCAGAAAAATTGGCCTACATTATAAAATGAAATACAGGCATGATAGTTCATATCTACATATGTGTGATTCAACTACACATTTTTATTATTAATAAGCTTGGAACTTAAAGAACCAACTGTCAAATTACTATGTTGTACATCTGAAACTAATATATGTCAACTATACTTCCAAAAAAAAAAATCAATGACTTTAAGGGTTACCTGTATTATACATTAGCAACAGTATAACTATTAACCAATAAAAGAAAATAAAGCGACAATTTTCTATGCTTTCAACTTTATAGAACTCAATAATAATAATGATGATAATTCTTGGTAACACTTCTAGAGCATTTACTATATGTCCGGCACATTAAGTGCTTTACATATACTAACACATTTAATCCTTATAACCCTATGAGGTAGATAATATTACCTCCAGTTTATAGAATGGGAAAACTGAGACACAGAGAAGTTAAATAACTTGCCCAAGGCCATAGAGCCATTTTTCTTGTTATCATCAGAGCAACTTCTAATCCATTAAAAACTGAAAAATATTTTCCTTCAAAGCATTTATTTAATGTATAAAAACTTACCTGATTTCTCAGATAAAGGGAAAAGCCTGGCCAAAAAGAGTTGAATTCGTCCACAGAAGACTGTATTCTGGGATTTTGATAATCTTCTCAAGAGATCTAACAATATATGGAAATGAAGGTTATAGGAAATCATTCTACATTTATTACAACTATACCCAAATTTGTTAATCAGTCTGTCAAGACTATTTCCCTAAACCAGTTCTCAAAATTGGAGTAGAAACTATTATTCCAAAAAAGCATCAAAAAAATTAGGAATAAAACGAATTTAGCATGGGCAAGAAAAACTTCACTGAATTTTTTTTTGGTTTTATGTTTATACCCAGAACAGGAAGTTTAATTTAAAGTGAATGATCAGTTTTAATAAATGAGTATGTTATTTAAAAATGAAAATACTAATCTATTTTTAAAATTTTATCACTTGTGTTTAACTCAACCACCTGTTTTACTAGCCACATTTGTTTTAAAAAAAAATCATTTACAATTGAATTACTTACCATTGCACATACGTAGTAAATAATTTTTCCCAGCAGAATAGAATGTGTTCTGAAATTAAGACAGAAATTATCACTAGTGTTCAGAAGTTGTTGCATTCTTCAATAAGTCACAGCAAGTAAGACATTAAAGAACACTGACATGCACTGAGTCTACTATGCCACTTTTCACTATTTCCCCCACAAATAGCATTTTCAATTAAGTATATGTTCACATATATAACAAAACATGATACTAAGTAACTGTTTTAAACATGTGAAAGTGTGCATTTTCAAATTAATTGTTACTACTCAAATTCTGCACTTCAACTTTTTCTACACCATGACTCTTACTTGGCCCCCTCAAGATAGCAGTACAATTCCCTCAGAAGGACAAACTTTTTGGCAGTCAGCAGTACTAAAATATAAGCAAAAAAAAAAAACAAAACTATCTTCTGAACTCTGGATCGACAGAAACATAATGTTAGCAGAAAAAGAAACTAAGGCACTTACTGATTTCCAAGTAGCAACATTTTTTTCCACAAAAGTGAATATTGTGTCACATTGATCCAAAGGAAGACAATCCAAAACATCTCCCAATAATACAAAAGGTGTAGATGCGGTACAAATACCTTCAAGTGGAGCACAAGCCAATTTAAAAGTTTAAAAAAAAACTGTACAGTAAAATAGCCCATGCAAAATAATTCTGAAGAATATCTTAACAATATACTTAGTCACTCCTAACAAATTTTTAAGAGACAAGAAATGGAAGCAACCTAAAAGTCCCCAAATGGGACATACTTAAGTAATTTTTGGTATGTGCACTCAATAATAATGATGATGATAATTCTTGATAACACTTCTAGAGCATTTACTATATGTCAGGCACACTAAGTGCTTTACGTATACTAACACATTTAATCCTTATAACCCTATGAGGTAGATAATATTACCTCCAGTTTATAGAATGGGAAAACTGAGACACAGAGAAGTTAAATAACTTGCCCAAGGCCATAGAGCCAGTAAGTGGTAGAGCTGGGATACGAACCCAGGCAGTCTGGCTCCACAGTCTGTTTTCTTCACCACTAAGCTATTCAAAAGAATATAATGCAGCCAATTAAAAACGATGGTTATGACGACTATAATAACTTGGAAAATGCTTATGATATAATGTTAGGTGAAAAAGGCAGGATTCAAAACTGTACGTTATTATGGTTACAACAATAAAAGTTTTTAAAAAGACTAGAGAAACAAAAAACATATACCAAAATGAATGGTAGTTTTTTAAAGTAGAGGAATTAATGAGTAGTATTTTCCCTTTTGCTCATTTCCAAATGTTCCATAATGTTGCTAAATATCTTTGTGATTTACCTTCAAAAAAGATAAAAAAGTTTTATACTGATTTCAACTATTAAACATTTAAAATAAAAGCATCATTTCAGGGGAGAGAATGGTATAGTAAAAAGTCGTTTATTTCAAAATTCAATGTTACTTAACTAAAGCAATAAATTAAAACATTTTTTAAAGAAAAGGTCATTTGGACTAGCTAAACATATGTTCATCTCCCTGCTCATTCTTCCTTCTATTTTAAGGTAACAGTAACACTTGGTTAAGTGTTTAAGAAAAGTAGCCTTTTAAGCCTTGCACGCAAAGAAAGTATCTAGGGAGCACTGTAAGCCCCAAACACTGCAGTTAATATAGTATGTTCAAAAAAAGAAAGTAATATATTCAGCTCTACTCTGCACTGGTATGATCACATCTGGAATGTGATATGAGGGAAATTGCCAAGAACCAGTGGGTGGCATAAGGAAGCAGATTTTAACTCAATACAAGGGAAACCTGACAAGACTATCTAATAGAAATCAAAACAGTAAGCCCCATCCAATCGGCATAGATGCTGGATGACCACCTGCCAGGAACATTACAGAGGCGGGACAGGATAACCAGAGATGAGACCAGGCTAGACAACTGCTGAAGTCCCTCACCACTTAAGGTTCTGAGATACTATATGCCCTGTACACCTAAAGGATTTGCGAGGCATACTCCCTGCCTGTAGTTGCAACATAGTTTGATATAAGTTAACTCACAATTATAGAAATTAAGAATTACCTAGATTCCACTCCCAAAGATTCTGATTCAGTAAAACTAAGCTAAGGTTTTGCAATCTCATTTAAAAACAGAGATTCACTGGTAATTCTGATGAACTGGACTATACTGTGATCTCCCAGCATTTTTCACAACCTGTGCCCCAGCCTCTGAATGCCGTCTGCTTCACCTTAACCTTGTCCACAGATACTCTCTCTTCAGTTCCCAAGCACCTTGCTATGTTGATACTTCTATGGTTTTGTATACAATGCCTTTTTCTACCTACCTAGTCTTTCTCCTCTCTATCATGTGGCAAATTCCTGCTCCATCTTTCAAAGCACACAGTAAATATCAGTGCACCTAAAAAACTCCTGATGCCTTTGAACAGGCCACCCCATCTATACTTCTGAAGCACAGTATAAATAAATTATAGCATTTACCATAGCTTGTTTATTTTTATGTAGACTACGAGCTTTCTAAGGGCAGGCATTTTTGTACTTTTTAACCGGTAAAGTGTCTGACACTAAACAGAAGCTCAATAAATATCTGCTGAGTTGAATTTAACAAAACATATTTATGGATAATTTGAAAACATGTCACATAAAGAATACAATAATAATCTCTCTCCAGAAGGACAGGACTTTTCCCCATCCAATTAAAATAAAAAAGCATCTAAGCTTTTATCGTAAGTCCTTATCTTTCTCAAATAAAGTAAAAGTTCTAAAAATAGACTTTGTACAACTTCAAGAGTTAAAAATATTACCAGTCTACAAGAGTAATACATCAAGGTAATCAATGAACTAAGCAGACTGCTGTTTGACAGAAATTGGGCAAGGAACACTCTGCTGCAGAACTCATTCAAGTATGCTGAATGAATGAACATCTTGTATAAAAGTTTAAATGTGAAGTTAGAATTTATGAATTATGCTTAAGTTCACAGAATAGCTTGCTGCTAAACTAGCAGACCACTTTTACCTTGGATGTTCTAGTTTCTGTAGGAATAGGTATCAAAATAAATATGTAAGTAATGCTTTGCAGATTAAAAGGCACTTTTCACATAAATTACCTGAATTAATGAGTATTTCAACTAAATTTGTTAAAGAGTACTGATGAACTAGTTTTTCACTGTTTCTTTATGCAAATATTTAATGAGCTCCTACTATGTGTTAGGCACTGTGTACTTCCTATATGCCTTTTTTAGTCTTGAAACTAGCCCCCACTGCCACTGCCCCCATTTTAACAGTCCCCTACCTGTTTTCCTGCCAGCAGTCTCTCCCAATCCAACTCCTCCTTCATAGCTCCCTGTTAGCATGGTATACAAAGCCCTTTACAAATGACCCTAAGTTACCTCTCCTACTTCCTTCCTCACCATTGTCATCATCCTCTCACCCCTCTGCTCCATGAAATTCTTTAGCCAGGCTGAACTTGCCTTTACATAGCTATGTATTCCTTTCTCTTTCTGCCTGACAAATCCATCATCCCTCACATCCCAGCTCCTGTTACAGCTTCCCTTCTAAGACCTTCCTGATTCCTTCAGAGTTGAGAGAGTCACTTCAACTACACTTCATTCCCACTTCACAGTAATTATACCACAGTAAAAAATGTACACATCTGTTTCCTCCATTAGCCACTAGGCTCCTTATGGGCAGGGATGTTTTCTTTACCACCGAATCTTTTAGTCCTACCTCAGTACCAGGCACATAGTAGATGCTCAATAAATATTTACTGAATGAATGAAACAACTGGAGAACAAACAAAGTGCCAAAATGTGTGCTGCATACTAGAGACGAGAAGTGTGAGCTAATTTCATTGGGACGACTTCTTGGCAAAGGTGGTAGGCAGAATTTGAAAAATGAACAAAATCAAATAGATGGAGAGGTACAGAGAGAATAACTTTTAAATAAAGCATGTCATGTCCATGATTACTTTAGAAAAACAACACTGTACTTACCTTCAGTTACGCCCCCAATAGCAAGAGAAATAATAGCTAAAACGTTTTCACATGATGAGTGATTTATCTACCAACAGAGGAGAAAACAATTTAATTTAGGGGCCAGAGTCCAGACTAGTTTGCTAACAATAAAAACATATCCTCTGACATTAAAGTATCAGAAATCTAAGATAAACATATTTCTTATAGAAAATAAAATTACTTTTTAAGATGAAAATACAAAAAATGAACAATATTAATAGAATCATTAATTGTTAAAATAGATCAAGTAAATAAGGGGGTGATTCACTTAAAACCCAATGGTCTTAGGAAGATGGTTACATTAGCATGATTATGGCTACAAGCTAATCAAGTACAGAAGCACTGGGGCCATAACTCAAATCAATGGCACAGGGCAAAGGGAGGGCCAGGGGAATTAATTGTACTGGTGCATCAAAGTGTCTGAGGGTTTTAATAGAGGAGGTAGTGCTTAGATTCCATAACATTATAGAAACTAGCATTTTTTGAGTGTTCATTATGTGTTGTTTTATACAACCTTGAAAGAATGTTATATTCCCTCTTACAAAGGAAACTGAGGCTCAGAAAAGCAAAGTAACTTGCCCAATGCCTCACAACATGTAACTGACTAGGTCTGAAGAAGAGGAAAAAAATGAGTTTTGATAGAGAATTGTTCAAAAGAAAGGACATTGTATTATGGCCATTAAAAAAGGATCTAGCTTCTTGGGACACAACCTTCACTTGACCAAGAATAAACTGCTGAAAGTTTTTCCTTCCTTTCGGTGCCCCACTAATGGTAAATAAATTCAGTTTTCACATTTAGGTTAAATTTTTCTACTGAAGTTGGATAGGCTTTGGTTATTTTTGTATATTAACTGATGAGGTTGCCACAGGAAAATGAGGGCATGGAATCCAGTTCCCATGCTGAACATTCTTGGCTAGACCTTTCATGCTACCAAAGGTGCGTCACTGTTTATAGAGCAATGTGAGAGGGCCCACCTTCAAATTCTAGTTCTGGCTCAGGAAAATCTCATATCAACTTTTCTTATATTCACTTGGGGAGAGCTCATTCGTTAAACCAAACCCTTAAATTGCACTTGGGCTGTCAAAATCCTTAACTATTACATAACTCCTATACTATGATCAAGTCAGCTTTCACAAAGTAGCAAGCTCACTATAGAAAAAATAATCTTGTTTAAATATCCATTCTGAGAATAAAAGCAATTTAAAAAATAACACTGATTAATTTAGCAGCAAAATTTTAACAATAAAGAAAAACATACTTACAATTTCTTCTTCTAGAACACCTCTGAAAGCTTGATCAAGGGTACATTTTTTTTCATTTTCACTATTAAAAACAAAAGACACCTGCATTTTTTAAACAGCTCAAGGTAAGTATAAAGATCTCGGCAAGTGTATTTCATGGATATCAATGCCTTACCTGCCAGGTAATTGGCTGAAGGTACTCAACAATGGCTTGATATTTTTGTTGTTCAGGGCCTCTCTGGTAGACTTCTAGAAAAATAAAAATAGCATGTATGTGGAAAGACATCACTCATCAATATTATGTATTATGTCCAACTGGAAATGCTTATACTTGGAAAAAATTACCTATCAGTCATTACATCAGTAATTCTTATTCAAATGCCATGAAATGATACAGACCCTAATCACTTTAAACTTGACAAGAGCTTGCCAACTAGACTTTCTCATTCCAGGCTTTCCCTCCTACCATTTCTTTAAATATCACATTCATGAGAGTATTCTGCCTTTTTTTTTTTTTTAAATCTCCGAATGGCTCCTTATTTACAGGCTTTGGTTTTAAAATTTCATAGCCCCTTCTCAAGGTCCTTAATGTTATCTCCCTCAGTTTATCCAACCTTATTTCCCACAACCACCTAACATAGTCTCCACTAAGGTCTAGCTATTTTTTTCATTATTTTCTATCAAGCTCACTCTAGTGTATTTACTCACCCTTCTTCCCACCGGCTCATGCAAATTCTATCCATTCTTTAAGACCCATCTCAAGCCCCACCTTCTCTAGTTTGCTCAGCCCAGTCCCTGACACATAGTCAATACTGAATACTTGTTAATTGTCTTAGTCATAATTCAAAGGCAAAACAATAAAAAGGGATTTTGGCTCAGTAGGTAGAGCATGTGATGCTTGATGTTGGGATTGTAAGTTTAAGCCCACTTTGGATGTAGAGATTTAAAAATAAAAGCTTAAAAAAATATGAAAGACAAAAATATTGCAAAGTCATTCATTCTGTGGAAATTCACATACACTTGGAAAGTTATCTCATTACCCCCAGGAGTTTGATTTACACTGGAAATGTCCACTCCTGATTCTGCCAAGAGTAGACAGTATACTCTTGGGCATATCCCCTTATCTCTTTGTGCTTCAATTTCCTCTTAAATAAGGGGGCTGTTGTAGATGCTTATTACTAACAGCAACAGTGGCATCACCTGGGAACTTGTTAGAAATGCAGACTTTCAGGCTCCATTCCAGACCTACTGAACCAGAATCTCCAAATGATTCCACTGCACACTGAACCTTAAGAAGCACTGCACTAGATGATCTCAAATTAATTGGTCCCATCCGGGACTAATATGATATTGGATATTTCTAACAGGTACTCTTAGCAGAATTTCAGAGCATCAGGGATTACAGAAAGAAAACGACTCTAAAGACATAAACAACATAAAACCTGATTAACAAACAAACCCTCATTGTATGGGATAAAAAAATAACGTGCACACAAGAAAACTTTTTATTCTGGCGTTACTAGAAGTAGGTAAGCACAGTTAAATATCTGAGCAGTTGAATCATGACTTGAAATACTGGCGCAAATGCTAAAAACAAATACAGGCAAACAACTTAAAACTGGGTTCTTCATGCTCTGATGGGCAACATAAAAAGAATACTGGGTCTGAAGTCAGAAACACCAGCGAAGTACATCATCTTACTTCGGGGGGGGGGGGGTGGTCTCAAGTTCTATCTCATCTACCAGTGTTAACAGAACTTTGCCTACTTCACTGTGCTATTCTAAGAGTTAAGTAAGGTAACATGAAAACGCTCTGTAAGGCGTTTCCCAAATGCTCAAATCACTCTTCCTCATTGTGTATGAATAAAATGACATCCGACAACAATTCCCAGGCTGATCTCTGTTTGCCTTTTCCTACTTATTATCTCCTTGTTAATCTCTTAGGAGTGAGACACCGAGGGTTAAAGGGTGGTGAATAAGCGGCCGGAACTATCACCTGGCAGCTAAGGAGGCGGAGCGGGCGCCAGTTCTCTGGGCTAAAACCACTCGCGCCCTCACCCTTAAGCAATTTTGGAGACACCTGTCTGGCAAGCGAGCACTGCAGAAGAGCTCGACCGCACCGGAGGTTGTCTGCGGATGAGTCCTCCACGCGGGCCACAAAAGCGCCCAGAACGCCGGGTTCAGAGACCTGCGGGCAGAAGGACGGCGGCGGACAGCACAGGACCCACGGAAGAGGCAAGTAATGCGTCTTTCCCACCTCCCAGACCCCGACGGGGCCGGGAACCGACATCGCGGCGTACACACCTCAGTTCCCGCTTTACCACAGGGCAAAATTCGAGTATTTTCAGGGAGAGGAGGAAAAAGATCGAGCCGGGTTAGGGTCCCACCCTCCCACCGTCCACTCACCGTAAACCGCGTCCGCGCTTCGGGCAAACTGAAGAGCGGCGGCGTCGGAGACATCTTCTCGGCGGCGCGTGCCCGCCACCACGCTGCGGCGCCCGCCGATGACGTCAAGCGGGAGCAACGAGATTGCCGTCTCCGTGCGCGGCTAGAGCGGCCTGTGAGCCAAGACGTGGGCCCGCTGGCCGCTGGGAGCTACTGTGGTGAGAGTTCAGCCCGGCGTTGGAAGGCTGACTCAGCCACACCATGCTCAGTCCGGATTCGTGGAGAACCCTAGGGGTGACAGCTTACGGGCGTCCTCGCCCTGTAAGCTCGGTGCTGCCTGGCGGGGAATAGGCGTGATTTTCCTGCTTTGGGGAAGCCGAGTGAATGACGGCTAGTAAGGCTTACTGAGTCGCGCGGGAAGGTAACCTGCCTGGAAATCCAGGGCAGGTGGGTTACCTGTAAGTGCCCCACGCTGGGGAAGTGTTGGCAGTGCCCGTGACTGCAGTCATTCTCCCCGAGGGAGTGGTCTTAGCTACCGCCTTGCTGAGTAGTTCATGGACCCTGTAGTTCACTGGGCTCTGTAGCTTAGGAGCAGTTCCCTCTTCTGTGAAATAGAAATAATGCCGGTTTCACAGGACAGTCGAAAAGCGCGAATGAAATAAAGCAAATGTAGCTTCTCTGGGAATATGAGTATCATTATCAATATCTTAGCGTCCGTTAACTTTGCTGCACATAGAAGCCTCTGCTGAAAGAAAGACCGAAGAGGAATGCAGTACTCGGCGCTCGTTTGAAAATGGGTGGCACTGCGTCCAGGGTAGAGGCACCCGTTGCAAAATCCTCTTCTCCTTAGCAACTTCCTCCCTTGTCTCCTGACTGGAGAGGCTTGACCAACGAAAAGCCAAGAGGCAGTAACTTTCTCAGTTGGAATTATGCTGCGGGGAAAGCAGCACTGACCTAAACGCTCTTATTCCCTTCCATGTGTACCTTGTCTCTTCGTTGACATCTAACGAGAATACAGGAAGTTTAAACAAAAGATAACTTTGCCTAGTCTTGCCCTTAAGTGGGAATTGTGAACAATGGTGGCTACTTGAAGCATTACAGTCTTCTTTAGAATTAACAAAATCATTCAAGTTTGTATGAGTTAAACTCCAAATTGGCTGAAAAACCTGGTATTAATTGATTTAACAGGTAGCTGATGTAATAGGATCATTATTATATTACAGATGATTATTAACTATCTGGAGCACAACTAAGACCTGAGAGGTAAATAAATTTCTCTTTTTTACAAGAATCCAAACATAAGAAGAGCTGGAGTTTCTTGACTCATTCACTAAATCCCAGTGACTTAGAATTTTGTTTATTCAGCAAACATCTCTTAGGCACTTTGTACACAGTGGACAATATTTGGTGCATGAGTAATAAATATTTGAACAAATGATTGAATGAACAGAATAATATAGCTTAATTCTTTTTTGAGGAACTCTAGTTGACCTAAAAGAAATAACTATGGTATACAATTTCTATCATGAGTAATTTAGATAATAGCTGCTATAAGTGATCAAAAGAGAATCAATACCATATGTGGTGGTCAAGGAACCTTTGTGGAGAAGACAGACTATGAGCTGGACCTTGAAGGATTCCAATAGACGTAGGTAGGAGTAGCAAAGAGTGAATAGGAGAAACCTTCCCAATGGAAGGAATGGTATGAGCAAAAGTGTGGAAGGGAGAAGGCACAATGAAAAATAGCCATTTATTTTGACTATAACATTGGGTTCTGCACAGAAACAGGGCTGAAGAGTCAAGCTGGAACTAGATTGTATTAATGTTTGAAACCAAAGAATGTTAAGGGTTTAAAAATGGCTTTTATAGGGGGCACCTGGGTGGCTCAGTCAGTTCAGCGTTTGCCTTTGATCCCAGGGTCCTGGAATTGAGCCCTATGTTGGGCTCCCTGCTCTGCGGAAAGCCTACTTCTTCCTCTCCCTCTGCTGCTCCCCCTGCTTGTGCTCTCTCTCTCTGTCAAATAAATAAATACAATCTTTTTTAAAAATGGCTTTTTAAAAAAAATTTTATTATGTTATGTTAGTCACCATACAATACATCATTAGTTTTTGATGTGGTGATCCATGATCCATTGTTTTCGTATAACACCCAGTGCTCCATGCAGTACGTGCCCTCTTAATACCCATCACCGGGCTAACCAATCCCCCCCTCCCGCCTCCCCTCTAAAACCCTGTTTGTTTCTCAGAGTCCATAGTCTCTCATGGTTCATCTCTCCCTCCGATTTCCCCCCACTTCATTTTTCCCTTCCTTCTCCTAATGTCCTCCATGCTATTCCTTATGTTCCACAAATAAGTGAAGCCATATGATAATTGACTTTCTCTGCTTGACTTATTTCACTTAGCATAATGTCCTCCAGTCCCATCCATGTGGATGTAAAAGTTGGGTATTCATCCTTTCTGATGGCTGAGTAATATTCCATTGTATATATGGACCACATCTTCTTTATCCATTCATCTGTTGAAGGGCATCTCAGCTCTTTCCACAGTTTGGCTATTGTGGACATTGCTGCTATGAACATTGGGGTGCATATGGCCCTTCTTTTCACTACATCTGTGTCTTTGGGGTAAATACCCAGGAGTGCAATTGCTGGGTCATAGGGTAGCTCTATTTTTAAATTTTTGAGGAATCTCCACACTGTTTTCCAAAGTGACTGTACCAACTTGCATTCCCACCAATCAGTGTAAGAGGATTCCCCTTTCTCCACAACCTCTCCAACATTTGTTGTTTCTTTCCCTATCCATTTTTGCCATTCTAACTGGTGTAAGGTGGTATCTCAGTGTGGTTTTGATTTGAATTTCCCTGATGGCTAATGATGATGAGCATTTTTTCATGTGTCTGTTAGCCATTTGTATGTCTTCTTTGGAGAAGTGTCTTTTCATATCTTCTGCCCACTTTTTGACTTGATTATTTGTTTTTTGGGTGTTGAGTTTGAGAAGTTCTTTATAGATCTTGGATATCAGCCTTTTATCTGTAGTGTCATTTGCAAATATCTTCTCCCATTCTGTGGTTTGCCTCTTTGTTTTGTTGACTGTTTCCTTTGCTGTGCAGAAGCTTTTTATCTTGATGAAGTCCCAAAAGTTCATTTTTTCTTTTGTTTCAGTAGCTTTCGGAGATGTATCTTGAAAGAAATTGCTGTGGCCGATGTCAAAGAGGTTACTGCCTATGTTCTCCTCTAGGATTTTGATGGATTCCTGTCTCACATTGAGGTCTTTCATCCACTTTGAGTTTATCTTTGTGAATGGTATTAGAGAATGGTTGAGTTTCATTCTTCTGCATGTGGCTGTCCAATTTTCCCAGCATCATTTATTAAAGAGACTGTCTTTTTTCCATTGCATGTTTTTTCCTGCTTTGTCAAAGATTATTTGACCATAGAGTTGAGGGTCCATATCTGGGTTCTCTATTCTGTTCCATTGATCTATGTGTCTGTTTTTGTGCCAGTACCATGCTGTCTTGGTGATCACAGCTTTGTAATACAGCTTGAAATTGGGCAACGTGATGCCCCCAGCTTTGTTTTTCTTTTTCAACATTTCCTTGGCGATTCAGGGTCTTTTCTGATTCCATACATATTTAAGAAATAGCTTTTATTTTATTTTTTTTATTTTTTAAAGATTTTATTTATTTATTTGAGAGAGAGAATGAGAGAGAGAGAGCATGAGAGGGGGGAGGGTCAGAGGGAGAAGCAGACTCCCTGCCGAGCAGGGAGCCCAATGCGGGACTCGATCCTGGGACTCCAGGATCATGACCTGAGCCGAAGGCAGTCGCTTAACCAACTGAGCCACCCAGGTGCCCCAAGAAACGGCTTTTGTAGCAAGTTATTACTGGCAGTATATTTTGGAGTGAAGGAGAGAAATGAACATGTTTTGCTGCTAATGAGTGAAGCAACACCAGATGAAAGAGTAGGAAAAAAAAGTAATCATCAGGTGACAATGGAGAGTTATTGTTTAATGAGTGCAGATTTTAGCTTGGGATGGTGACAAAGTTCTAGAGATGGATAGTCATAATGACTGCAAAACAATGTGAAGTACTTAAGGTTACTAAAGTGTACACTTAAAAATGATTAAAATACTAAATTTTGTGTATATTATACCACAATGAAAATTTAAAAAGAAAACCTGTTTTTAAAAAGGCAGCAATCTTGTGCTAGATAGCTTAAAAAAGGCAAAAACATCAAAAACATTGGTATGATCTTGAGAACTCAGGATAAGGTTATATTCAATAAGGCCAAGAAGTAGAGAATGTTTTTTTGAAAGATGTGCATCAAAAAACATTATAGTAAAAATATTTTAGCATTCAGATCATGTTAATAAATGCTTTATAATTCCAAATGCACTTGACATGTAGTACCTCATTTGATCCTCTATATGATATTTTGAGGTGGGTAGTACAATTATCCTACAATTATTTCATCCATGAGGACGCAAACTCAAAAGGATTGGGTTCCTGATAGAGGCAATCAGCAAAATAAGACCATCCAGGAGTTTTGATTCCAAATTTCATGCTCATTACACTATGTTATATTGTCACAAGTAATGCTCAAGTTTTAGTGAGTACCTCCTTATGACACTTTCTTGTAGTATTTCTATTCCTTACAATAATATTCCACATAATTATGTAACAGTGAGAAAACAGGTTCATCTGTCCTAGCTCACATGACTAGAGAAAGCTAATTTGGGATTTGGGCCTAGCTTTAATCCCAGAGCCTGTATTCTTCTCAAGTGTTAACTCTTGAATCATTACCAAGCCACAGGGCTAATTATTGTCCCATAAATTATTTCCTTATAGTTGGATAAAGGTGAGAATCATATTGTCATAACAAAACATTATGAGTTTTCAAAAGTATGTAATAACACTCAAAGGGCAGACATCCAATGGCACATAAGAACTTCACTTATAGTTATTGAGCACCTGTTTTTCTTAGCAAGGTAAAGTGGACCAGGGACTGCTTCTCTCAGCAAATACCCTCTAATGAGGTTTAGATAAGTTCGAAGCATTCACATCACGATTCCCCTTCTTTTCTTTGGTGTACTTTCACTGGGATTCAAGTTACTGTTGGAGTGATGACAGAAAAGGACCAAGGAAGCAGCTTAGTCTTCTTTGTTCTGGTCTTTATCCTCTAGTC